TATTTTACATTTTTAGCATTTCATTTGGTTCATTTAAAAATACCACCTGTTCTTTCTTCTTCAATTCTCTTTGAGAAATATTTAAAGTACACTTAGTTTATAGTCTCTTATGTTTTTCTATTACCTGTAGATCCTTAGATGTGATTTCTCTTGGTTGTTGCATCTGGTGACTGTCTTCTCATGACTTGTTTCTTCACATGCTTTATAATTTTTATATTTACACAATCTCTCCATGTGCTAATGGTTGAGAACCTCTGCCCTTGGCCTTGCTGCCACACAGCTTTCTCCAACACTTTCTACAGTCTCAACAACTGGCAGCTACTGGCCTTGGTTCAGCACCTGACAGTGCTACAGCCAGGATCTGTGATTCCCTTGGCCTTTCCAGTTTGGTTCCTAGGTGCTTGCTGAAGCCCCATCACTCACTGTGTTTACATTCTAGACAAGAAGATGGAGGAAGGGTAAAGGCCAGGGGATCTGACTTCTACTCACATCTCATTGGCTGGAATTGTGCCTTGTGCCTTTGCTAAAAAAAGGTGGCTGGAAATGTGGCCATTTAAGCCTTTCCAGATTCTACAGTAGAAGAAGGCAGGAGCAAGGAGGTTTGGGAGTGCCTATGAGGTAAGAAAACATGTATTGGGTCTTTCAAAAAGTTTGTTATTTCAAAAATAAAAATTACATGCCCATTATAGAAAATTTAGAAAAACAGAATGGAAGAAAACAAACTTAACCCAATCTCAGCACTTAAAGCCAAGAACTGTTAATAATCTGATGCATTTCCTTCCAGATTACTGTGTGTTTTCCCCAGGATTCAGATCATATTGTATTTACAATGATGGATTTGACCTTTATTTATAACGTGAAGTAATGAGAGATTCTCCATCTGCTGTGAAAAATGTTTGGACATTAATTATCTGCAGTATATTTCATTATGCTGCTGCACCGGATTGCAACTCCCCCCCTGCTGATAGGATTAAGGTTCTTTTTCCTTTTTCTAGTTTTACAGAACTAAAAACAGCCCCGTCTGAACTTCTTTGTGCCCACAGCCTTTCCCCCTTTGTTGTGTTTATTCATTTATTTACTTAGTGAAGAAGGGAAGGAGATTTCTTAAAAAAGGTTTGGTTTCTGCTTATAAGAGCTTTTTCAAAGACTGGTGATTCATTTATGTTACATGTCATCATGAATGAACACTGTTCTCCCGTCTTTTCATGACAGTTTGAATTCAAGGTAATGTGTGAAATGTGTGTTTTTCTGAAGTCCAGTGATTCATTTGGACCTCTGTGGGGTGTTCCTTGTGTTCTCGTTCTCATATAAGAGGTATTGGCATTTTGGCTTCAAAAACAAATGAAAAATTACAAATACAACTTGTGTTTGATTTGGGTCTGGGCTAATTACTTAGGAACCATTTAGCGATAATGGTCTCAGATAAACACTCTGTGGAACTGCAGTTAATCAAGGGACTGCTGATTCTCGGAACTATGTAACCAACAAGGCAAGGATTTTAAGTCTAGATGCCAAGTTCAATGCAAAATATTAATCTCCTTCTCACATTTGCAATATGTATAAGTAAACTTGAGGGAGAGGATAATAAAATTATACAAATAATGCTAAATAAAAAGTTAAATTTGCCACTTACTCCAGGTCAATAAAATGACAGTAAGCAAAAAAACAAAAAAAAAACAACAAAAAAAAACCAACTTCAGGCAGAAGACTAGTTACATTGTGCTATTCAGAACTTCTTAAGGGCAAAAGAATAAAAACCCATCAACTTCCTGGGTTTAAAGTTAATTATTTGTCTTAAAATGTTATTCTGTAACTTGAACACCTATATAATGACTTGAAGAGCCCAGACAGAAAGTCAAATTATATAGAAAGTCAGAAATTTCACCAATGCAATATGTTTGCTGGTAGTTTTGCTATTTAAAGTCTTTTTTCACACACTGCACACATACCCTTTTTGTAGGCACAGACCTGGCAGTGATGAGAACCCAGCTGGTGCAAAGAACTTTTATTCTGCAAGCAGAGAACTTATTCGTTCCATATGGATTAAATTTTGCTTTTTAAGAAGTCAAAGCCCTATCTTTTTCAGCTTTGCTGCACCACTTTTGTGGGATTCCTTGCACCTGGGAAACATGTATCTGGAGTGATAACAGTGCCCAGTTCCTTTTCAAGTTTTCCACACACCATCCTTCGGCTGACAGTTTTCTTAGCCATGGAACCAAAGGTTTTTTTTTTTTTTTCAAGAGTCAGAATGACATCCCTTGGGCTGATTCCCAGGAATGGGACTCCAGGATCACAGAGAATGAACATGTAGAGCCTTGGGGTATGTTGCCAAAGAGGCTACAAGGGTCTTTCTGACACCAGCTCTTTGATGAATGCTTCACTGAGTTCTGTCCACTCCATTGGCTGTGCCCTTTTGCAGAGGGATGGGACTGGTCTGTCCACACAAAGGCTGGGGGTGGGAGGTTTCTGCCATCCCTCAGGAAAATATACTGCCATAGATACTCACTGTTCACTTTTAGAACATCTTCACCCACATTCTGACCCTCTACCCCTATCCCTCAACATGTTTGTTTGTGGTGGGACATTTTTGTTTCTCTCACTCTCTCTTAATTATGACTTAACTCCTAAGACTTGGGTAAACACTCCAAGTATCATAACGGGCTGGATGGTTGGGTGGCCTGTGCTCCACAATGGTATTTAATTCACTCTACAGCCAGGCTCCGTTCTCCTTACTGAGCCATTGCCATGGCAACAGTCCTCCTTGGGGCAATAAGTATGGGTGGCAAAGTCCCACATGTTTAATATGTTTGATGTTTTACCTTTCAAAAAGTTCTTTGGGAAAACTCAAGTTGGCTTGTTGAACAAAATAAATACGTTTTTTTATTGTCAACAAAGGTTAAGGGCAGCAGCCTTGATAACAGGGGAAGCCTGGACTGGTCAACAACCTGAGACCAGAGTGAGCAGGTCACATCCAGTTCCACTTGAGACAAGAAAGGAATGGGAAAACTCTTAATGGTGGAGGAAACTGACTCGGGTCCCAGATAGTGTTGGGGGCTCCAAGCTAAGATTAACGCTGACTTAAAATGGACCTCAGCCCAAACCCAATCTTGGTGAAATTTGGGTGGCTTTTGGCTGCCACCACTGGAAGGATCAGGGATTTCATCTGCAGCGAGTGCCCTTCAGGGGCCCTGGACCTTTTCCTACACTTCAGGTGGGCGGGGATCACACCACAGTCCTCTTTAGCCTGGAAACCCTTAAAAGTGCACACAGGTTGCACAGCATACTGAGAGCTTTGCAGAGGCTGATGTCCTCTCTCATCCTTGCCCTCAGTCTGTCCATCATTTACAACAGATTTGCTCACTTGACACTTTTTTAAAACTTGAGGATTAAAGATGAAATTTTACAGTTTTACGTTGTTTTAAGTATTATGCTTCTTGGCTTAATAAGCAAAATTTTTTAAAGTAAATTTACTCCTTCCTTTCATTCTCCCTTCTTTCTCCCCTCCCTCCTTCCTTTCTTCATTTGTATGTGTGTATTTTACCTGTTTAGGGGAATTCATCTGGCATGGTGAAAAGAGTGGAGGAGCAAGGTGTGGAGCCAGACCCACCCTTGTTGGAATGTTCTCCTGTTAGCTATGCAGCCTTGGCACAGGGTGACCAGATCTCCTAGAGTGCTGGGGGTGGAGGGTTTTCTTGGCATGCAAGACTTTCAGAGCCCTCAGAAACACTCCAGGAAGATGTGCTGGGCTTTGAGACTCCCACTTTCACTTCCCGAAGCTTAGGAAAAAAGAACAGAAGCTGTTCAAATGTGACATAAGCATTTTTAATATTTAAGTAACAAAAGCAAGCAGGTCAATATTCAATGCATATACAATAAGAGAAACAAACAAAAATAATTACAAAGCACAATCTAACTACATGAAGACTTTTAAACAATTAAGTGTTGGATGGAGAATGTGCTCATTAAAAAGCCAACTGAGCCACATAGTGCCTCAGGCCTGACCAGGGACTTTCTGGTGGTGGGAGGGAAAGAGATCACTGTGCCTCCAGGCCTTCAACTCAAATGCTGAGGACCCTTAACAATCTCCATGCCCTAGAATGTTCAGCTTCCTCTCCTCCCACCCCAACTTTTCTTCTTGAATCATTTTAGTGTTCTTCATTACCCCATCTTTGACAGTGAGTTCCATGTGTACTCTCTTTGATTGGGCCTAAAACCATTGCTGTCTTAGTGAGAAGGGTCTCTGAGTTTACTGTTTTCTCTCTTGGTGAACACAATTCCTTTCTGTTTAATGGGCCATGAGCTGGCCTTTCCCCAGATATAGTCTGTCCAGACTTAAGATTCCTATGACTATTCACCCAGCTCCTTGGAGGTCACTTTTACATGATCTATTGGTGTGAGGATGTTTCCCCCTGCCAAACAATAATTCAATGGTCAGATCCCTCCTCCCATCCCCCAAATACCTCAGTTTCCCACGGGGCCTATTCTGGCTCTGGTGTTGGGATGGGATCCTTGCTGCAGCAGTGATGTAAACACAGGTGCGTGGCTGCAGAGAGCTTTCGGTTCTTAAATACTCAGTGGTCTAACCACTCCAGGTGAATTCAGTGACAAGAACTGCTCTCAGAGTAACAGAGCTCACAACAGTGCCAAGTACGTCTGCTGTCAGCTGGCAGTGGCCTGCAGCCCCGAGAGTGTGGACATGTAGCACTTGGATACCTAACACTGAGTTCAGGCTCATCACTTTTCAAGAAAATAACTAGTTTCACATCACTTCCAAGGACCCGTTGTGTTCCATTATTTGGTTTTTACATGGGTTACACTGACTCTATCATTATAATCCAAGTCCTGGAGACTTCAAAGGGAATTATGACCAATGAGCATTTTATGAAATTTGGACTTAAGTATGATTTTTTACACTGGAAAATATAGACAACATCAAAGCAATTAGTTTTTCATTTTCTTCTATCTATATATAGGAATGAGGCAAATTCACAGAGACAGTGTATCATTTTACTAAGACATTATTTATTCTAACTCTATGGAGAATACAAAATATATTTAGAGTACCAAAAAATCCTCTTCTCATTCTTCTAGGGATACTTTCTGGCCTGTGACAGAACAAGGACCTATAGTGGAGAGCTCAGGAAACCCTTGGGAGAGTCTTGCTGGAATTAGCAGATGCTCCCAACCCCCCTGCAAAAATATGGAAAGTCTGGTTTCCTCAACCTGAAACACTTTGGTCCAGGTAACATTTATGATCACAGCCTAAGAAAACTTGGATAATGGGCTAGAGACATTACAAATAATTCCCCCCTCTCACCTCTTCAATCAGTGTTTATTAGTAGCCAAGTTGGGGCGTGGGGATGCAAAAATCAAATAGCAGGAAATGATGTTTTTTGACAGACTTTCTTTTTTCCCTTTCAGATTTGTTCTGGGGGATGAGCTGAGAAATACAGAATCAATGAGATATTGGCTAGGAGGAGGAGGGAGAGTCTATCTAAATCATTCAAGTGTCTGATAGGAATTCAAACCACATTCTATCATCAGATTAGGAAGGTTATATTAAGAAAAGAGAAACAGAGGATCACTACATCATATCTGATAGCTCAGCTGTTTTGTGATGGAACATTTAGAGGCAGAGCCATTTGGCTAAAACCATCTGGCCTCACTGCAGGTGAAATGAAGGCTTTCCTAACTTCATCAGAGAGTCTAAAACAATCAGGGGTCAAGGTAAAATGTTCTTTGTTTTGGGGTGAGCTCTAATTTGGGTTTTCTTCTGCCCATGATGAGGTGTCTTGGAGTGCTACACGTAGTCATACTTGGAGGGTTGAGATTGTCCCTCATCCTCTGTGTGGGCACCCCCTTCATATATCTTCTTGTTTTTGGTGCTGGGCCCAAAGCCAGTGCTAGCCTTGAAGCCTCCAGTCTTGTAGGCAACATTGTGGCCTGAGGCATGATAAGACACAGTTTTGTAGCTGAAAGAAAAAGAAACATTACATGACCATAGATGTATTTGGTAGGAGGACAAAGCACCTCACTTACCCCGGAGTGTCTCAGGTTTAGCCCTGAAAGTCCAGTATCCCATGAAACCCTTCCACCTGGGCAAACTGCGAGAAATGGTCACTCTAGGTTTTGGAACACTCGTTTTTGGACCTCTGCAGTGGAGCAGAATTTCTTGCTTTGTATTAGAGCTGGTAGTTACTGACTAGTGAGTTCCCTCTGTTAATCAATTAAAGTGAAGCTGAACCAGAAACAATGCCCAGGGGAACATGGTTATGCCAAGGAATCATAGAATTGGGAGCTGTAAGGTACCTATGTGCAGCCCATGTCCTCTAATCTGCTCAGTTGATGGATGAGGTAACAGAGGTCCAGAAAGGGCAAATGATTTTCTAGTGGTTGCAGGGTTCTAATTAGCAGTAGAACCAGCCTGAGATCCAGGTATGCCATCTCTGAGCCCATTTATGGAGTTACAGCAAAGTTTCTCAACAGCAGTACTGTTGACATTTGGGACGTATGCTTTTTTGTTGTGGGGGCCTGCCTGTGCATTGTAGGATGTTTAGCAACATTCTTGGCTTCCACCCACTAGATGTTAGTATCACCTATTCCTCCGGCCCCCAAAGATGTAACAATCAAAGTGTCTTCACATGTTGCCAAACATTCTCTGGGGGAAGAATTGCTCCCAGCTGAGAGCCATTGAGCTACAGAATATTGGAGCTAGAGGGAACCCAGGGAAGGTTTTTTTCCCCTTCAAATAGGATCACACCTAAATCAGCTCAGGAGGAAATACTCCTGTTCTGTTTTATGTGTTTCTCATAAAAGAAAAAGTTCATCCTCAACAATGTTATTCCATATGCCCAGACCAATCCTTCTGGCTGCAAATTATACGTTAAAATGGACTCAGATCAAATGTCTGATTGTGTTGGGATGTGGAGACTCACTTGCTTTCTTCGGGCACCAGGCCCCTGCAGGCTATACACATCATCACGCCCCCAATGAGTGTGAGGCCTCCAGCGACCCAGCCCACGAACAGGGCCGATCCAAAGGTGTACCTGAGTGGGGAGATGATGGCTATGAATGTGGTCGACTCAACTCTCCAGGTTCCACCCACTGCACTTGACCATGCCTGTCCTGTTTTCCCTTTGGATTCCACACCTAGCCCTGCCCTTGCCCCTGGAACACACACACCTTTGGGTCACAGGCCACTGAACAGGTGCCCTGGAGAACAGCACTGGCACTGAGGCTAGCTAGCAAAGCAGCAGGGGGATTCTTGGACCTCTTAGATCACCAAGGCATGTAATTAATTATAGATCTCTAATCTCAGAGAAACATCTCAGGAAGTTCCCTTTCCCTCCCTATCACCACAGGGGAGTATCTTGATGGTTTAACCAGAGAAGCTGGAGAGAATCAGTATTGAGTTATTATTTCTGAAGGAATTTTGGTCCCTTGAGTTCTCACCGTGGGCCCAGAAGCATTCATCTCATCTACCTCCATTAATCCTGGCCACCATCCCTTCGGGGAGAATATTGTCTCCATAAAGAACTAAATTGATATGACCATCTTACAGATGAGGAAATTGAGGCTCGAGAGGCTAATTAACTTTTCCAAAGACCTGGAAGGACATGGCATTGCCAGGATTCACATGTAGGTCACTCTACCGCCAAAGCCCTCACCGTTAATCATTCAACTATACTGTCCTATGTGCCTGAGGAGTGAGGTTTTCTCCTTCAACTTAGACACTCTTGACCAAGGTTAACAAACTTATATACCTACCTTGGACAGGTAAGAGACTTAAATAATAAGTAAAGTGGGCTGCATGTAAGGAAATATTTCACTCTCTTAACTCTATTATATGGGGGTGGGGGGGTACACCATAGACATGACCTCAGAGTTGCGCACTTGAGCGGTGTGGGGACTGTGGCAACCTGGGGAGTGCGAGCCCTGGTCAAAGGGCAGCTGCCTCTAAGCTGCAGAGATTCTTGCCATAGGGAATGAGGGCCCGGTGCTGCCAGATATGATTTTTCTTTTTATAAGAAGGTGGAAAAAAAACCCCAGATGTGTGTGTGAGTGTGTGTGTCTATTATGAAATCTCAGTCTAGCAGGTACAATGGTGCTCTGCCCAGGTCCCCTCTGTCCCTTTAGCCATTTCGGTGTCTCGCCCCCAGCTCCTGCGTTCTTTTGCCTTCGCTATCTTGTCCCTGTGACTCTCCCTGGAGTTCTGGCTTTGGTTCAGCTGCTGGAGTCACTTTCCCCACCTGCACAGAGGCTGACGGTGCTGAGGCATGAAAGACCCCACAGCTTTCTAGGACCAGGCTGAGTCCAAGACTTCATCTGAGATCGCCCCCTTCCCTGTCCTGCTTGCCCACTCCTTGTCCGGTCTCCCGTCCTTAATAAATCACTCATACACAGATATTCAGGATCTGTTTCCCACCATCTCTTTCTGAGTAACCCAACCTGAGACACTTTTAATTTTAAAAAGTAAGTAATTAATTCAGGTTATAAAATGAGATGTTAGGCTAATATGAAACACCTTGCAAGATGTGTACAGGGAAAGGGCAGTTTGTAGCTCTGGTCCAGGGCTTAGGCTCTGCCAGTGTTACACACAAAGTGGTAATGGCAGAGTTGGGGGGCAGGAAGAGGGGATGCTGGGACTAAATAAGGCACCAGAATCAAAACCCTGCCAAGATTTTTCTTGGCAGCTGTGCTGTCTGTGCAGAGAAGATAAAAAGACACAATAAAAACACTGCCCATCCATGGAGGAAAAAGTTCAGGGAGGCCAGTCAGAATCCTCTGGTATCAATCTCAGGACTGAAGGTGGCTGCCCAAGGGAGAGGGGCAGGTTCTAGGGAGATGGTGTGAGAGGGAGATGGACACTTAGCACTGGGTGTCAGGTGGGTGGTAGGAGGTTCCTCTGGGCAGGGACAGTGACACTAGGCACATAGAAACTTTGGACAAGGTGGGCCCTTCCAATTTGTCTATGACAGAAAAGATTTCTAGGAAATGGGACTTTCTATGCCAAAACTGGGCAAGTTCCAGCTTATTTCGAAGTTGCTTTTGTCACCCAGAGGACATGGGAGGACCATGGAGGTGAATAAGGGCAACTATAGGGATCTTCATTCTTGAAGCAAAGCAGAGATGTGAATGCGGACAGGAGTTCCAGGGAGTCAGAGAGTAAATAGGTTTACCTTGTCCTTATACCCTGTCTGTATCCCATGATGGTGCAGCTGGAGAAATACCAAGTATATCTACCCCACAGGTGATGGGTCATTAAGCTATAATGTTTGTATTGCTCTTTCAGAACAAGATCTTTTTCCTTCAGGACTTTGCTGCTGCTTCTTGCTATGAGAAATGTCCCTTTGAAGTGGCTAAATGAATACACATGTTAGGGTTGCTTTTCTGTCTTTTAAAAGTTCTGCCTTCCTTCAGACACCAAATTATAGTGAAGTTTCATCTCCCTCTGCTACACCATAACCTCCATGAGAACGAGGACCTTGTCTTTATCCCCAGCACTCAGGTGCTCAGTACATTTGTGGAAAGAATGAATTAATGAATGAGGGAAAGAATCAAGCCGAATGAGGATGAAACATTACTTTACTGCATCTTGCACCTATACTGCATCTTGCTCATTTTTATTCAAGCTTTACCTGTCCCTAGCCAGGTTCCCATCATGGACCAAAGATGCGGGCTGATGCTCATTTACATGCCTCAGTTAATAGTGCCTGTTTTCATTGCTACCACAATGGGGCCTGTGTAAGAGTGTTAGATAAATATTGAGAACTGTTGCTGTATTTCAATGCAAATATCAGATCAGCCTCAACTCATATCACCAAGGATATTTCATTGAAATGAAGGTTATGAATTTACAGATCATTGTTGATTTACAATATGGCATGGCTGTCTCTGATAAATCTTTGCTATTTCAGACCCTAACAGCCACATTAGGCATACGTGTCTAATCAGATTTTTATAACAGTATTCCCCATAGAAGCCTGAGACCTAGATTAGGAGGTTACCTGGTTTGAACAGTCTGCACCATCCCCCCGAGGCCGGTGTACATGTTAGCTGTAGACATCCAGAAGTTAGTAACCAGCATGTTGGCAAACACAGACACTCCAGCGATTGCACAGAGACCTGTAGACCAAGAAAAAGAAAACTCTGGAGTTAGCTTTTAAGGGATCACAATGTTTCTGAGGCAATGTATACTTAAAGGAGTTTAGATGAGCAGGCCACAGAACATTCCATTCCTATAAGTGTTGACTATTGCATTCCCACTATGTGCTAGATATCATGCTAGGTGCTTAGGTTCTCTTATGTCTCTAAATGTGGAAGGATTTGTATATGTGTACAAAGAGATTTTTCATGTATTTTGGGACCAATGGTTAAAATACAAACATTGGGGGTTTGGTTCTTTGACAATGTCAAGAGTTCATCCCTTAAAATCATTTTCTAGAATCTTACCAAAATAATGCCTTTAAGGGTTGAGTCACATGACTACCTTAGGGTTGAAAATCTCTTACAATGGGACTAGGGTGGCAGCTAAGAGAGACCTTAGCACTCATGATCATTCTGTAGTGTCAGTGGGCTGTAAACTCAGATCTTGAATCTCAGTAGGAAAAGCTTTGGACTGTGTCCAAACCACATTCAGCAGGGAGAAGCTGTGTTTCCTTTGCCAGAATAATTTTGCTTTGACATTCCCAGAAGCATGTTTGACAAGCAGAAACCCAGGCCCTAGTTTACCTGCAATAATAAACATGACTCCAGAGGTCAGTGTCATTTTGGCTTTGGCGGAGTCCTCCATGCTGCCAATGCGGATGCACTTCAGGGCAAAGATTGATACTAGGAGGCCGATGGCACCCAGGATGATGCCCACAATCATCAGGGCTCGCACCGCCTGCAGCATGGCTGTGGGACAAGGGGCAAGACACAAGCAGACAGACAAGATCATCTCAGCATGATTGATCAGGTCCCGGTTTAATAAAACCAGGTAACAACAACCAACCAGCACTGAACTTCTGAGGAACAGCAAGTCCATACACTGTGACATGAACCTAGTTATTGTCAAGGGATACAGAATTGTGGAAATTGCAAAACCATCACCTGCAATCTTCTGATTGATGGAGGACATGCATGGAAATGACTGTAGAATGAGAAAATTATGGACAGCTGGAGCTGGGAGGGCCAATGGAATTTATCTATTTCATTTATTTATTTTAAAGCTTGGTATTCTGGGGACCAGGAAGGGGTAATGGCATGACTAAGGTGACATTAAAAATTATTGGTAGATCTTATAGTAAAACTGAGTTGCTTTGACTTCTAACCCAAACATCTATCTTCTGTAGTCTTTCCACATGTGCTCAATGTATTATATAGTTGTGTCCAGTTTAGGAAAACCCAGTATTTATTTATAGCAAAAAATAAAGCAAGATCACTAAGTGACTTAATAAGGCTACTATATTTTTGCCTCTTTCCAAAGAGACTACTAAGGTCATGGTGAGCTGTAGGTTTTGGATACATATAAAAGACAGTATATGGATCTCAGGTCTTTCAACATGACCACGGTTTACCAGGAGTTTCCTTTCCAGCAGTCAGTGGAAGCTGTAGGGCCTGCTGGGACTCTCCTGTAGTGACATCCCCTCCAAACACATCCAAAATGTTTTCTAAGGTGCCCTTAAAGTGCATTGACTGATCTCCACAGTTTTCTACTGAGCCCCATGAGTAGGCATGGGGTGGCAGTAATTAACAGGGCAGACATGATCTTTGCCCTCATAGAGCTTCTACTGAAGTGGGGAAAGACAGTCAGTAACCGTATCCACTGTAAGCATACTGAATCTTACAAAAGGAAGACAAATGAGCCCTAGCATGAGGAGTTTTAGTAGAGCAGGACTGAAGAACTGTGTGACACAAAGCAGAAAGCTTCACCCTATTCTAGTTGTCATAGAAATTCTGCTTTTGATGGAAAGTTGTTAAGAGCTTTTCCAGACAGTAAAAAATTTAATCCACACCCAAAGCCCTACAATGTAAGTAATATTATTGCCTCTATTTTATAATTGAGGAAATTGAGACTCAGAGGTTAAGTAACCTACTCAAGGACACAGAGCAAGGGAAAAGGAGAGATGGAGTCAAACCCAGAATTGTCCAAACAGTTATTTTCTCATCATCATGCACTACTTTGAGGTACCTTATTCTGGAAAACCCAGCAGAGGTCTGGCTCTCATCAAGGTAGAGGGATCCATATCCTCCTAACAGAATGTATCCTCCAAACTTGGAGACTTGGCTATAAAATGTCATACTCTAAAAAGAATGCTAAGAATATGTAAAGGAATATTGTCCAAAGTATACCTGAGGAATAAGCTGTCTCAGAAGATTATTTATACACATGATTCTGCAGATAAGGGAGACCTGGGAGGGAATTCTCTCCAATCTCTTTGGGAAGATTTCCATCTCAAGTATGGCCAATATTGACTCTAAGGTATGTATCATAAAGCAATTTATCATGATGAAAGAATCATCAATTAATGAAATACAATGAAAAAAGATATGTAGATTATGCAGAATTTGTGAAGGAGCCTTCTGCAATATCTGAGGAATGGAGGCTTCCCCGCCCCCAGGTATCTCCCTGTGTAGAGATGATGGTATCCAGCTACTCTAGGTCTGCGCCACCGACCTCCATTCATTAGGTGCTGATTCCCTTCTCTCTAAATTAAATTCTGGTTTTATCTTTGCTTCTCTCCTGGGAAAAGAATTCTACAAGCAGCCATTATCAGTCTTGGTCCTATTAGCAACCATATTTCCAGAGTAGATGTGTTGGTTTATGGGGTAGATCAGTCCTCCAATACGACCATTCCTGGGAGTATTGATAACAGTGTCATCTTGGACTTGCAAACTGAACTATGATACTAGAGCCATGGTAACCCCACTAAGGCAAAGAGAACTCACGAGGGCCCTGGAGTGGCCCTTGAATCCATTCCTAATATAGGAGAGCTCTAGAGTGTCTGTCACCTGTGACCTCCCAAGCCTTGCCCAATGGTTTTGCTGGCCCATAGGATACTGGGAACAAATACCCTGTTCATTCCCTCATTGGCAAATGCAAGCATGTATCACCTATTGTGTATTAATTTACATCTTTCTATATTCATCTAGCACATGTTGGTATACTCTCATAGTGAAACAGCACATTCATATGCTCATCCGTGGAGTCACTCATTCATTCATCAGGATTTTAAAGCTCAAATTCTCTGCAAAACCCTTTGCTGATGCTGTAGGAGGTATAAAGTTTCATAGGAAATAGTCTCTACCTTCAAGCAGCTTATAACATGAGAAGACTACATTTTTATTGGAAATTCTGAGCCTCAAATTTCTTTTCATCTTGGGAGTATCTTGGCAATGTAATCATAATAGAACCACTTTCTAACAGTAGTTGTGTTGTGGCTCTAATATTCTTTAACACACACAGTTTAATCATAAACCTGTAGCTCAGGACAGGTACAGAGAAGACATCTGTGGGACAGCCCCAGACTTCAAGAAATATCCTCAAAGCTGTTCTGTTTTTGGGTGTTACTACTAGGAAACAGGACATATGAGAAGAGGGAAGGTCTTTGACTTTCCCTCCACCTTGTCCCCATGGGCCTCTTATAAACTTCAAATCTTCCCAGGAACCTGTTAGAGGTTTTAAAAACTGCTCTTGTTCTGATATTTTAAGCTTTAAACTATCCAGAGAATCAAATTATTTATCCCTTTTAAGAAGCGCTTGGCAAGACATCTGATTAACACAATAAAAAAGCAATCAATGAATCAACCACCTAACTAGCTAACCCACCAACAAATAATAATTAACCAATTAGGATAAAGAATGTCTTTTCCTCATTTTATGAAAAATTACAATCATCTGGGACTCTTGATTGAGTGGGCTTCTAATATTTGTTCCTGAAAACATATGACGTGTGTGCTGTGGCTATAGCTGAGGTATGTGACCTTCCCTGACACTGCTGGATAGGAAGGGTGGGAATGCTGGCAGGTGGAGAGAAATGAAAGTGATGGAGAAAAGAGATGAAAGCACTGTGACCTTGCCTGATGTGGAGAGTTGCTGCTAGTGTGAGATAGGAGCCCCTAGCTAGTGGAACCCTAGCCAGTTTGTCCCAGCCAGCCTTTGCCTTAGGCTCTTGCATCTACTGAGTCAGGTTTGCATGACAAGTCCTCATTTCTTTCCTGCTCTTTCTTGACCCCTGGACTTCTGATGAACAGTGGCACCTCTTTTGAACCAGGGGCCCATCCTGACATTGAGCTCCTTTTCATATTTGGGATCTCCTTCTAGCTTACTCCTATCTCTTTTTTTTTTAGCCTATAGTTGGAAAAGATACAACATTGTTTATACCTTGTGGGGCCACCACCAGAGCCACAATTCAGCCTGGATGGATGGACCAAGGTCTTCCATGCTTTGGAGACCCCTTAGGAGTTTTTTCTGAGAGTGGGAGCTGTAATGGAGACAGATGCCAGGAAGTAGGAGAAAATGTTCTCCACCACTCATTGCTATAATCTCCCTATGTCTAGTAATGGCCATGGAGATATGTGGTGGTGACCTGAACTTTCTTTCCAGCTAGAAGATCTTATGATCTGGAATTCTATTCCTTTTCCATAAAGAGGTAACCAGAGAAACTACTCCTAATAGAGGTAGGTTTCTCTTTTAGCTATTCTGTCTCTTATTTAATATTCTGAGCAAGAGGCATAGGCTTATCAGCTGATAACAGGTGAGTCAATGGGTTCTAAAGACTGATTCCCTGCACCGAAGGTGTGACTACAGCATTCTTTCCAGTAAACAATGGGGCATTATCAGACATGAAGGGTGGGAAGGATTCAGGGTTGACAGAAACAAACAGAAAAATGGGACTCAGTGTTCTTTCCCTGTTGCAAAATTTCTTATTCTCTTGAAATGAAGTGACAGACAAGTTGATCTCAGGTGTGGTTTCCAACATGGGCTGCACTTCAACATCTCCTGGGGAAACTTTTCAAAAAATATTAATGTTTTGGCCTCAACCATAGAGATTTTCATGGAATTATTTATATTTTTAAAGTTTTTTTTAAAGATTTTATTTATTTATTTTTAGAGAGGGAAGAGAGGGAGATAGGGAGAGAGAAACATCAATGTGCGGTTGCTGGGGGTCATGGTCTGCAACCCAGGCATGTGCCCTGACTGGGAATTGAACCTGCGACACTTTGGTTCACAGCCCGTGCTCAATCCACTGAGCTACGCCAGCCAGGGTATTTTTAAAGATTTTAAAATTGTTATTCTATTACAGTTCTCCAAATTTTTCTCCCTTTGCCCTCCTCCACCTATCCCACCTCCCACTCCTACAGTTAATTCCCATACATAAATTGCAAGGAATACTTTGGGAAAACAGACCTCAAGAGGGCTCAGGAGGAGGTATGAGGGTGGGGAATTGAGAGGAAAGAGTTCCCAGTGGTTGACATCACTGAGATGGCTGGGGGACAGGGGTGGGGCTGATGAGACAGCAAGTCACCAGGAACCAAAGGCCTTTGATAGAGGGGTAGGGACGGGAAATGACCCATACCTTCAGATAGAACTAGGTCTCAGACTGGAGCAGGAAGAGCTGGTGGAGGAGTCCAAAGGAGGGGAACCCAGAGGAGGCAAGTCTGAGGTCAGACCTCAGAGGCAAGGCCCTTCAGAATAAGCTAGAAGGCCTAGATTTTCCATAGATCCCAGGAAACTAATATGGAGGTCCTTGTATTTTATGAAATCCTACAGAATTATGTAATGCCGGGTAAGTTGTTAGGGAAGTCATTTAACCTCATTAAAGCCTAGTTCCCTAAAGTCTAGAGTGGGATAGAGCTGATGTGAGGATTGGATGCTACTCAGCACCAGCATAAAACTAAGCCAGTCTCAGTAA